TCAAGAACAAAGATCGAAAATATTACCTGAAAGGATGTGGAAAATGTATATAACCTATTTTCTTAATGTCCACATATATTATTTCGCCTATAAGTTAGGTTATGGATATCAAACTTTGCTCTGTGTACATCTGTGATGAGTAGCAAGCACAAATGCATTTAACACACGCATATATTCCTATGTTGTTTTGCACCATTCAGCTACTTCTAACAGCTTAAAATATATTAATTTAAACTAGATTCATCCAGGAAAAAAAAACTGTAAAAATATTCGCCTTCCTGAAGAGGTTGAGTGATTGATTACATAATAAGTCAGTTTTGTAGGACAATAAATTGTGTCAAGTGGATATAAACCCAGAAAAGCATTCAGTGGGAGTGAAGGCTGTAAGTGGGAGTAAGGACAGTGGTAAAAGCAGTGTAGACTGGCAAGGCGTCATTTGTATTCTTATGTTTTAGAATAAAATTTCCAGTGTCTACGTATATATCCCCATGTGCTGTGTTTCTCTTTATACAGCATTTTTTCCTTGTGTTTCAGCCTTAGCTTTTTTAAAAAAGATATATTTTGGATTGTAACAGGTTGTTGTAAAGACATTATAAAAAGACACTAGCTGGCGTGTGAAAGATTTGAAAGATTCAGTCTTATGAATTTGCTCCCCCAAACTTGGGGTCCCACTGTGTTTCATCAATGCCTTTCTTTCTAGATACAGTCCATCAGTTGAAGATAATTTCAGTTCAGTAAACTGTAGGTTCTTTTTTTTAATTGTTGGGGGTTCATTGAGGGTACAAAGAATCAGGTTACATTGATTGCATTTGTTAGGTAAAGTCCCTCTTATAATTGTATCCTGCCCTCAAAAGATATGTCACACACCATCAACCCCCCAAAACTTTAGGTTCTTATCAGCACTTTATTTAGTTTTAATCAGCCCAGTTGGTTGATACATCAACTGAAATAATTTTTGCAGCCATTCATAGAAGCTTGTAGGTTTCTACATTCCCCCAGTGGCTGTTTCTGACTTATTACTGGATGTTTGGTTAGATGGATTGTTTTCTCATTTCTTAAAACAAAAAAAAATAAAAATTACTTTTGCTTAAATATGATCCAGTTGTTTTGTGTCTTTTGGTAATAGTATTGACCTATAATAAACTAGTTGTTTTTCCTCTCACTTTTGATCAATATTGATTATGCATTATATTTTCATTGACTTTCTTTTAATTTATAAAAGTTTATGAGGTGCAAATGCAATTTTGTTACAGAATGGGGACCAGTATACAAAATATACAAGTAACTCAGGCAACTCAACAACAACACAAATACAAATAATTCCTTTGAAAATGGGCAGCCTACTACTGAGTATCTACCCTGAGGGGAAAAAAAATTAATTGCATCAAAAAGCTACCTGCACTGATATGTTTACCAAGCTACATATCCATCAATGTCTGATTAGATAAAGAAAATGTGGTATGCATGTGTGATGATTTTCATTTTTCCCTAGTTTGATGACATCAATTGACAGATCTACATGTGATGTTACTGGCCACATTCAGGTCCTTTCTGCTTGTCCACAGTAAATCAGTCACTTGTGACATAGGTTTTACAAAAGAGAAAAGATTTTATCACAAGGCTACCAGACAAGAAGGTGTGAGGGTAGCTCTCTCAAATCCACTTCCTGGGAGATATGGTTTAGATATATTTCTGGGTTAGGGAAGCAGGGCAGTCTAAGTTGTAAAGAAAATTGATTGACAGTGGGGAAAAATGAAACGAACAGATCCCTTAAATGGCACAAAATAAAAACTTCTACCTTGTAATGGAAAAACAGAAGGGTTATTTACCTATTAAAGAATAAAATTCCCCTAGAAAAACTTCCAAAGCAAACTCCTGATGTTGATAGTATTACTGGAAAATTTCTCCGACATTAATGAAATAAATATAGTGGAACACCATACTTAATCATAAAGTGACAAATGCATTTATTTCTCCTGATATTTGAAAAAACACAAGGCATTTCTTTTCTCCACATCTATTTTACACTATAATGGATGTGTCCCATGCACAATGCAAGAAAAGATAGATCTAAGATAAACAAGTACAAAGATTTCTCTTTGCACAAGCTGTGAGTATTTATATAGAAAAAAATCTGCAAAAGTTACTAGAACTGAGTACAGAAGTGTCAGGTATGCAAGATAAATATACAGAATTCCATTTTTTCCTGCATATAAGCAATAAACTTTGGGAGTTTCAGTAAAAACAATTTGTTATAATTACATCAAAAGTGAGATATTTAGATATGCTTCAAATGATATGTGTACAAGACCTACATGTTGAAAACTGCAAATTGGTGTTGAAGTAAATCCAGAGAAACCTATAAACTAATTCTAAAATGCCAATGTAATAGCAAAGAAACTAGAATACATTTAAAGAATTTTTTTAAAAAGAAAAAAATAGCAAAGTTGGAGAATTAATGTATTTTGTCTTCCTTGATGTAACATTTAGAGCAAGGCAAAGTGGGAGTAATAATTATTCGAAGCATAAGAGATAATTAACAAAGGTAAAATAGTCATCTAAACATAAATATAACTGAAGATTTATAAAGAGATTTAGCTAATTGATGTTTTGTTGCTTGAAAGTTCAATTCCATGCATACATTTTTCCCAGAGGTAACAGCATAATTATAGTGAGGCTCTAAGCAAACAATAATATTTTATTGTCATTATCAAATATGAAGTTATTTATTTTGATACATATTGTCATGGAGTATTATTAATAATATAATTATGATGTTATCATTATTCCTATCAGAAATGATTTTATGGCATTAACTTCTTATGCCTTACAAATGATTGTCATATAAATTTTAAGTTGATCAACATAGAACATCATATACATTTTCTAAAATTCATTTGTAAAAACAATGAATTTTGCATTTTCTGTTATAGAAATAAGTAAAATGATTTTTCCTGTTTATATACTTCATTTAGGAAACTGAGTCTGACTGACTTGCCAACTATGTAAAGTAGCCACTTTAAAGTTACTGGAGTATTTCTTCAACTCTCTCATGGTCTTTGAATATCAAGATTCCTTCCACTAATCCTATTAGTATATAGAGTTCAAAAATAGAGAAAACTGTTTCAATTTCAGTTGAAATTAATTTACTGTTAATGGAAATACTACAAATGATTGCCCCATATATTTTTGTTTTTTAATGGTAAATAAAGACTCCTTCGTCAACGGTAAAGTTTAACACCGTAGAATGAAAGGAAACAGAATGACTAAGACATAGAAGACAGTGAAGGACTGTTAATTTGTCCAGCCTGATTTTATAAAATGGTATTTTTGTAAAGTATTCATTTGCAAAATTTTAAACAACTTCTTAGAAACTTTTTGCTTTCAATCTTCAGTGAATGGGAAGAGGATGCTTGAAAAGAGAGATAAAGTAGGTTTTGAATTTTAAAGCCTCCATAATTACTTTTTGTCATTTTTCGCTTGTAATTAAAATTTTAAAAACTGAAGTTGAAAAGTCATGAGGCTCCTGTTATGCTTTCAGGTGTAATTTAGGGGCAGCCACCTTACTCTTCAGAGTTTAAGACATAAAGAAGTAGATAAACTGAGTAAAATTCATGTTTTATCAAGAGCAACAGCAGAAAGAAAGTCTCCATTTTATTTTTAGGGGGAAATAGTTACCACCATTTAAAATATTTAAAATAAAAGTCAGTAAAAGCAAGTTTCAGGTATATGCTCATATCTATTTTCTTAGAAATCCAGATAATAATGATTTTTTTCTAGAAAGTACCCCATTTTTACATCTTTAAATCCAAAATTATTATAACTTTGTGCCTAAAATGACAGGAAAAGGTAAAAGCAATACTGTATCATTCGCCGATTTATATACTGAAAACCTAGAACATATGCAGAGCTAAGTGATAATCTCTGGTGATGAAGATAAGTGAATTTTACCCTTTTCCCTTTCAGGCTACCTCTTCATATGAACCAAAATGCACAGAATGAGAATATTGGTATGATCCTGAGAATTTTTAGGATTCATTGAATTCTTTTTTTTTTTTTTAATATTTATAGCAACTTTATTGTAATAGCCCAAATGCTCATCAACAGGTAACTGGATAAACAATCATGGTATATCCATGCAATGGAATTCTACTTTGTAATAAAAAAGAATGAATTCTTGATGTGCACAACAACCTAATCAATTGTTATGCATAACAACTCAAATATTGACAGCAAAATGGCCTAATCTTGTTAAAAGTCATATAGTAGAACACAATATGTCAGTGAAATGGGCAAAGTATCTTTATAGGCAACAAGGTGGATAAATTCATAAACATAATATTGAGTCCTCTAAAAAGGTAGACAAAAAATCATATATATTCTGTTTTTTTTTATTAAGTCATATACATGGATCATGAATACATTTATGCCTTTATGGGATTCAATGTGTTGATTATTTGTACAAATTGGAGTGCTTACATCCTACTAATTAACATAGCTTTTACTTCATTTACTTAATCACAGTATTAAGACATTTGTGTTCAATACTTGATAATTGCTAAGTCTCAGAAGAAGCCCAAGTGCCATTTGAGCCATGAATGGGTTAATAAATTATGGTACATGTATATCATGGAATACTATGCAGCATTAAAAAAAGATGGAGACTTTACCTCTTTTATGTTTACATGGATGGAGCTAGAAATTATTCTTCTTAGTAAAGTATCACAGGAATGGCAAAAAAAAAAAAATCCAATGTACTCAGTACTAGAAAACCAATTTACAATCACTCATACTTTCATGTGAGAGATGAATCATAACTGTAGCCCAGGATGAAGAAGGGAAGGAGATTGAGATGGGAAGGGAGTAGGGTGGTTCTATAGAGGGAGGGTTAATGTTGGGACCACACCTATGGAGCCTATTACAAAGGTACAAGTCATTCATTGAATTCTTGGAGTGGGAGCTGATGAATAGAATGCTGCAGGATTAATAGTAACTTGAAATTAACAGAGGGAAGCTCTCATTTCTGTGGCCCTTTTCACAGCATCCTTTACATCCTTATTTCTCAGACTGTAAATCAATGGGTTTAACATGGGAATCACTAGTGTATAGAATACAGAAACCACCTTCTCCTGTTCTGCAGAATACTGGGAAGTTGGCTGAATGTAACTAAAGCTTAAGGTGCCATAAAATATTGTCACAGCAGTCAGGTGAGAGGCACAGGTAGAGAAAGCTTTCTGTCTACCCACTGCGGAGCGGATCCTTAGAATAGCAAACACAATGAAGATGTAGGAAATGATCACAATCAAGAAGGTGCCCATGGCAATGACTCCAGAAAAGGTTAAAAGCAACAACTCATTCCTGGAGGTATCAGAACATGACAGCTTTAGCAGGGAGGGAGTATCACAGAAGAAGTGGCTGACAATGTTCAGCCCACAGAAGGACAGTCGCCCCAAGCTTATTGTGTGTATTAATGAATTGATCAATCCACATGTCCATGATCCAGTGACCAGTCCCACACACTTTCTCTTAGACATAGCTACAGTGTACAGCAAGGGAGTCGTGATGGCCACATACCGATCGAATGCCATCATTGACAGCAAGAAGCCTTCTGTGGTAACGAACACCCCAAAACACAAATGCTGTACTATGCAAGCAGAGAAAGAGATGGTTCCCTTCACAACTAGGAGGTTCACCAGCATTTGGGGTGCAATTGCAGATGAATAGCAGGCATCTACAAGTGAAAGGCAACCTAGGAAAAAGTACATGGGAGTGTGGAGTTTGGGGGTGATACGGATTAAACAGATCATGCCCAGATTCCCCACCAAGGTAACAGCATAAATCACCAGGAATAACACAAAAAGCACAACTTTCAGTTCAGCGCGATCTGTCAATCCCAAAAGAATAAACTCAGTAACAATTGTGAAATTCTCTTTGGCCATTTGTTTGTTTCTTTACAAAAAACTCTGTTGAGAAAAAAGATAGAGGATTAAAATTATTAGGAAAAATAATACATATATATAGAAAGTGTTTAAACATACAAATACTACACATACATATTAAATATGTAAATGTTATACACATTTATACATATTATGGTAAGATACAGAGAACTATGGATTTTGCTCTTGGGGTAAATATCATCCTTTCTTTGATTTTCCATTTTTTCCAGTTGACAAATTTACCAAGTAGACTAGATGGTCTCTAATTTTTTTTTCCAGTAATGTTGTTTCATATGATTATATTCCATAAAAAATAATATGTGAAAATATCTCCCTACATACAAATGTCTACCTTAACAACAAAGTAAAAGTAGCCTCAAGAAAACACCAATGATAATTTAAACTACTAGGATGAAAAATATACATTTTGGATAATTAAAATACCACTCAGTAAAACTATCTTCTGCTATTTTTGGTTAGTTTTTAGAGTATGAAACCACTGAATAAAAAGAGTTCATGAGATTATCTTTATTTTGTAATTATGTAGGGAAATAATGTACAGTTCCATTATTTTAGGGAGTGAAGTGGCCATATTCATGAAGTAAGATATCTCAGGCATCTATAGTGATGGCATTTGACACAGCCAAGGACTATGACCCTGGTAACTATGACCCTATGACCCTAAGTCTGAAACTCAGGAAACAACAGCCCATCTTTTACGTGATACATACTAGAAGAAATCACTGTCCTGGATTCTGTGTAATCTTTCATGGCCATAGTGGGAGGGGAGTCCTAGAGAGTCACTAACTCTGAGATTGGGAGCACAAAATCCCACATATCTTGCATATCTGGGCAATTTGGAGGTTTCCTATTTTTTTTTCTGAAGACTTCAAATAATTTTAGACAACCAAATAAATAATAATTCAGAATATAAGTAAATATGCTTTCCAACTATTTCGTGATATCTCTTCATAGTTTTCATCGTACGATAAGTAGGTTAGCCAATTTAAGACTTTTTAAAATGCAGTTTCAATTGGATGGTTGGACATGTACCTTATATTCAACCTGTTCATATTTGTTTCTGAATCAACAGTCTCTCTCCCTTATTCTCTATTAAATTGAAATGTAGTTTTAGAAATGATAGGAAGCAAAGAGTGATTTATTTGTCCTGGGCATAATTTGCACCCTTTACCTACTTTAATTAAAGCATTTTAATGATCATGGTAAATGGGAGAGTCCATTAGACTGAAGTTCAAATCTTACTGCAGATGACAACCGGTTTCATTGTATTGGGTAAGTTATTTAACGCTTCTGACTGAAGATACAATTTCCTTTCAAATATTACTAAGTATGTTGAAGGAGACAATTACAATAAAATATTTAGTGTTTCTCTGAGTAAAAATTAAGCAATTAAAAATTATTAGATGGTTACACAGCTATGAGGGGTATCTATATAGAGATGGAACAGTGATAGACACTCTGTTTAATATATTGTGGTTCATGGTAATGAGGGTAGATCTTTGAAAGGATTCTAAAGGAATAATTCCTATCTGACAAAATATTTGCAATATTTAAGCACTATTTTCCAACAATAAGGGAGAGTATTTTCAACAAATAATAAGTCTGAGTATCTCGGAATTGCACTTTTTAGATCATTCTTTTATCTGATGTTTTCTGCTATTTGTAGACCATTAACTGGATAAGTTTCTCAATGGTCACTTATAAATATGACTTTTGTTGTAAACCATAATTTAGCATATATCATGTTTGAAGAAATATAAATCAAACTATCCAAATATATAACTTTCCTAATAAAAATTGCATGGAAGTATTATAAATGAAATTATATAATATGATACAGAGTTAAGTTACATGGACTTTAGTATTCCGATAGGCTAATATGATATTTGGAACTTTCGGTTATCTGCAGAACAAATTCTAAATACAAAAATAATTAAAGACACAGAAACATATTCAAAATAATAAATTTAACTTACCAATGCTAGAAAAAAAATTTAAGACACGAATTTCTTTAGAATTCAATCTCCATTTTTTTCACTCCTTATTTAGAAACCAAGCAGTTAATACATTTTTCTGAAATTCAGAATAATCAATGTTATAATGGTAGATAAGTTAAAAAATTCATATGCAATTTAGGCTTAGATACCAAACAATTACAATAAGAACAAGGAACAATGGTTTGTTCTTTAAATCTTTAATCTTTCCTCTAAGAGGACAAATTTATAAGGGCGGGTAAGCATGCATATTTGTATTTAAGTATTTTTGTGTGATCAAATGAGGCCAGAGTCCCTGTTGCTCAAACACTGATGAAACTAATGCCACAGCAGTGACAAAATTATACATTGGGCTGCACTCTGGATTCTCCAGGGACTATCTCAATTTATCTCAGTGGAATTGGTTTTCCCTAAGGTGTGCAATGAAAAAAGTTACAAAGAGTGGAAGGAATCATAGAAGGTGATTTTCTAGGTGAGAAAATAGTACAAATATTGATTATGAATAATAAGCATAAATTGGGTATCATTTTATTAAAATATGCTGTGTACCACACTAATCTCTGTAAGGCAAAAATGCAGTGGAATCCAATGTGATAATAGCCAGCCAGCCTTTGAGAACACTTTGTGGGAAGCGTCATTCCACTGTTCACATCCACAGGCTTCTGCTGGAAGTTGACATCTACATTTTACACAGCAAATGCAATGGCCATTTGTCACTCTCATAGGCTATGACATTTAGCTTCACCACTGTCATTCATTTAAGAAACATTTCTTGGGTAATAAATGGAAAAAGACACTTTTTCTTTCTTTCTTTTTCTTTTTTTTTTGTAGTTTTGGCCAGGGCCAGGTTTGAACCCACCACCCCAGGTATATGGGGCTGGTACCCTACTCCTTGAGCCACAGTTGCTGCCTGGAAACAAGACATTTTTAAGATACTAGAAGAACATGGATTATCAAAATTGAACAAATCAAGAAGCCAATATTCTGATGCTTCCCATAAAGGGAAGACTAGATTTAACTCCACTTGCCTCAAAAAATATTTTAGGCTGATGTCATAGCTTACACCTGTAATTGCAGCTCATGTAAGAGGCTAAAATCATGGCAAAATATTCCTCTTACTTGCAAGGAAAGTGAAACTAAGAAAAAAAATTATATGGCTGCTAAAAATGCGTGTTAGAAATAATAGTGACCTTTTTCTATTAAGCCAAAGAAGAAATTGAGATACAGCCATGAGAGATTTAGAAATGTGTATTTATATACACACACACGCACACACACACACACACACACACATTTTAATCCTCACAGTAGTAGGCTTAATGCAACAGTCTATTTTCTCCAGATACAAATGGAAAATACAAATATTTTCTAATACGCAGTTTAAGCATAAATTAGTATCCTCTGCTATAACATCTTTACATCCTGGCAATTACAGCATTCGGTGATTGTTAGAACAGGATTGCTGGGTTCAAATAAGCAATTGTACGAGAGAATGGCTTAGCTGAATGGCTTAGCTTGACACATAGCAGCAGAGAGCAAAACTAAGTGGGTGTATCTTCAGCCCCATAAACGTTGGGGTAGTTTGTTATAAAGCATCCTTAATCAGAATGGCTAAAACTGATCAGTCAAAAGTTTGAATAATTTCCCTTCATTATAATTGAGAACTATTGTTAATTAAAATACAGTATAACAAGGCACAGTGAGGAAGGTAAATTTTTATTCAAGTGATAAAAACAACAGAGGTTAACATCCAAAATATATGAAGAAGGACTGTCCACCAAAAGTAATAGTGAATACTTTCTGAAGAAGATAACAACTTATTTTCAACTAGACCTGCTACAATTTTCTTAGATATGCCTGGTACACAATATTAATATTTCATCCTGTATGAGAAGACAGGATGTGACTGAGACTATAAACATAAAAAAGAATTAATTAAATATAAACTGGAATTTTTACATATGAATTTTAAAATAGAGATGATATGTTAAAATGTGAAAACAAGAAGGAGAATTTCATTAAAGAATTGGAAGCTAGAAGAATATTTTAAATTAGTATTCCATATCCATTTAGGTTACATTATCTTGTTGTGAAGCGAAAGTCTTATTTACTACCATGTGATTTTTAAAAATCCTTTTATGAAGGAAAGGTGAGGTGTACAAACAACTATATTTATGTGAACTAAATTCCAAATGAACATACAATTGTCAAAACAATGGAGAATCTTCTATTGTTTTTCTCCTGGGGTATCTCCCTAGTCTGTCATAAACCACTGGATCAAGCTTGCCCGGGTAGAAAGTCTCCAATGAGGCCAGAAAACTTGCAAAGCTTTGGTGATCAAGGCCTGCATGACGAATTTGAGATCTGAAAAGACTCAAATGTGTGGCAGGTTCTTCAGGTGAAACATTTTTGGAACTTTCTGTAGGGTTTGAGGACTAGACCAAGTCTCTGAAAGGAAGAGATAAATGTTCTTCAGGCACACCAGTATACTAGAAAGGGAAACTTCCCAAAGATCTGTGCTGCACGAATCATGAAACTTAGACAGAAGTTGGAATGAACATAGCTTTTACTTTCAATCAACCTACTTCCATGCCCCAAGAAATTATAGGGGATCAAGAATAGCTACCTCCTGGGAAAAAAAGAAAAAAGTGCATCTTGAGTTTATTATTTTATCTCACAAAACACTGATACAGAAATCAAAAAATAGATCAATGAGATGTCAGAGATAGCACCGAGTCCAAACCTTTGCTTTAGATGTTGGTATTCTTAATTGATGAAGAATTGATGGAGACCAGTAACCAGATGGTTTTGTTAATGAATAGTATTTATATATTTGAATATCTGTAGGGACAAGTAGGGGGAAGTACATACGTAATCTTTGTAGATGATAATATATCTGATATTAGAGTATTAATAACCAAAAAACAAAAGACAAAAAACAAAGGAAAAAAGGGAAAGAACCAATTAAATATGCTGAAATTAGAAAAATGATGTCATGGAGGAAATAAAAGATTAAAATACAGAACAAACCATACAGGGTGTATGTAAAGTTCATGTGCAATTCACAATGTAAAACTATTTCGAACTGCACATAAACTTTAAGGAGAGCCTGTATTTCCAATATGTGATGCATATAACCAATAAAAAGCCCACAGCAAAACTGTATAGCACTTATAGGCAATCAAGGATTTTTGTATCAAGAATATCTTTTAAATCCTACAAATCAATGACAGAGAGAGCACGTAGATACCATCTTGATAATGATTATTTATTTGTACCTAAGGCGTCCTTCTTTGAATGTCACTATGACTCTCATTGTTAATTTTCCCTTTTGGATAGGTTTTGTAATTCATTGAATTAAACTTCAGCAATTCTCAGAGTAAAGAGAATTTTCCTCGTCAGGTTCTTTCTAATTTTCCTGAATTCTCATCTTCGGAACTTGGATTTCCAATCCTTTTGAACTCTATGGGAAAGATAAGGTATACACTTACTAGCTGTGATGCAAATTTATTTATGTGCGTGTATAAAAATGCTCAGTCATGCTACCTCTAGCCACACTCAGGAGTGTTGTTTTCTCACTAAACCATTATTTCTATGAAACATAGTTTTAGAACCAGAAACATAATTGAGGTTACCTAAAGAAAAGCTGGGGCAAGTTGACTTGGTCTCATCAATCATAATTTTTTAAATCAATTCACCTGTATATGAACGTATTTAGAAATACATATGAACGTTAGCGAGTGAAGGCTGACTGAAACAATGCTGCAGGCAGACAAGTGACTTTAACACGAGAGACGTTTTGTTACTCTGACTCTCTTCACAGCATCCTTTACATCCTTGTTTCTCAGACTGTAAATCAATGGGTTTAACATGGGGATCACTAGTGTGTAGAACACAGAAACCACCTTCTCCTGCTCCACGGAGTATTGGGAGCTGGGCTGAATGTAATTAAAACTTAAGGTGCCATAGAATATGGTCACAGCAGTCAGGTGAGAGGCACAGGTGGAGAAGGCTTTCTGCCTGCCTGATGCTGAGCGGATTCTCAGAATAGCAATGGCAATGAATATGTAGGAAATGATCACAATCAAGAAGGTGCCCATGGCAATGACTCCGGAGAAAATTAAAAGCAAAAGCTCATTGATGGAAGTATCAGAACACGACAATTTTAGCAGTGGGGGAACATCACAGAAAAAATGGCCCACAACATTAGACCCACAGAAAGACAGTCTCCCTAAGCTTATAGTGTGTGTCAATGAGTTGATCATCCCACCTATGCATGACCCACAGACCAGCCCTATGCACCTTCTCCTAGACATGACTGTGGTGTAAAGCAAAGGGTTCACGATGGCCACGTAGCGGTCATATGCCATCACTGAGAGCAAGAAGCCTTCTGTGGTGATGAACACTCCAAAAAACAAGTGCTGCACTATGCAGGCAGAGATGGAGATGGTTTCTCTCTCAACCAAGAAGGTGGTCAGCATTTTGGGTGCAATAACTGATGAGTAGCAGGCATCCACAAATGAAAGGCAACTGAGGAAAAAGTACATGGGTGTGTGGAGCTGCGGGGTGACTTGGATTAAGAAGATCATGCCCAGATTCCCCAGCAAGGTAGTGGCATAAATCACCAGGAATAACACAAAAAGTGCAATTTTGAGTTCAGTGCGATCTGTCAATCCCAAAAGAATAAACTCAGTAACAACTGTAAAATTCTCTTCAGTCATTTTCAAGTTCCTTTCCTGGAAGTCTGTGGTGAGAAATATGAGAGGATTAGAATGGACACAGGAGAATCTGGTATATACATGTCAATATTAAATAGAAACATTCATACCCCTGTGTCTTTGGATAAGTAAATATTATTTTTCTACGCTAAATTTCTCAACTTAAAATTTTAGGAGCTTCACTACATTATCTCTTGATTTCTCTTCAGTGCTCGTTCTAATTCAATTCCATAAGGAAGTAAATGAAAAAACATTTTGGTGGTCAAAAATTTCAGTCTTTCTCCAAAAGGTCTGACTCCATACAGACACTGATGGCCACTGAAAGCATTACAAAATGATCATTCAGATCTCTCTGGATCTTTAAGAGGAGAAAATGATAGAAGATCTAAAATCAGCTGTGCTATTAACTATGCATGAAAGAATTATGATATAACCAGAAAACTGACAAAGATTAAGAGAGAGAGGTCTGGTCTCTAAAGATGATGGTGTGATATGCTGTAAAGTGAGGAAGTCAAGGGTGTCTCGTGAGCATCATGGAGAGAGACACCCAGAGAAGTCACTCAGCTCTGAGACTGAGAACACGAATATCTATGTCTTATCTAAGGGGGAGCCCTTAGACATTTTCATGGGTTCTCTGATACTTTAAATAAGTTACATATCTATTTTAGGTAGTTATTTTTGGCTATATAAATGCTATTGAGACAATATATGTAGGATATAATTATTTTTATTATTTTCTGTAAAGACATATATCATGTATATGTATATGTATACATAGTATATACACATATATAGTGTATACATATATAGTGTATATACTATAGTATAGCATAGACATAGAAATATGAAAGATAAGATTTTAAATGTGGATAACCACAATCAGCTTATGTTCTTAAATACATTTTTATATTGTTCATTTAATTATAAATATATCTGATAATTATGATTCCCTAATCCAATTTTTATTGCAAGGCTTTTCTTATATTTTTGATTTGAATATGTTTTCATAAAAATCCATATGCTAATAATACAATGGATCTCTCTTTTCTTTAACAATTCACCATATTCTATATTTAGCTGAGAACAACATGTATTCTTTAAAACAGAGATAAAAATGATAAAATTTAGATTATCTATGTGAGTTCTATTAATTCATTTCATTTAATATATTTCCTTGCTTCCAAAAATAAATGGCTGGCAGTAGCCTGAGCTGGAATTAAGATGTGTTGCTGTTATTACATATGATCATGTTAATTTGGGAAATTTATTTATTTTCTTTTAGTGTTGGCATAATTACACCTACCCCACAGGATTATTAAAAAGTAGTAAATACTTTATGCAAAATGCTAAGTGTTGCTTTAGGTGCAAAACAGGTACACAGATTATAGGTAGACATTACGGTAGATTTGTAGATAAGTAGTTAGGTAAGCAATATAGTGATGAACAATTTCTATCTGAGAATTTGGGGGAGGCTGCAGATATAAAGTTATGCAAAGAGTACATTAGTCAACCAATTATATTTCCTCAGTTTTATTTGAAATTATAAGTAATTGGAATTACGAATGGGTGGCTTATAATTTTTGTTAATTATTGGCCTGTATTGTGATTTACAATATTCTGCCCTGAGGTCTTCAGATTATTTTCCAAATTGCAGAAGTGCTTTCAATGAATTTCAAGAAATAATGTTAAAACTGGTATTCAAAACTGCATTATTCAACTACATCTGAAATGATAAGTATAGCAGCTACTTACACTTAATGTAAATATTTGAACAGAAACTGAAATTTCAATTGTTTTAATCGAGTATTTGATTAGTAATCAAGTACTCAGTAGGCACTTGTGGACATTGTTTTCCACAGCACAGATTAGAGAATGCTTCAGTCACTGCAAAAGTTGACTTAGAGCTCTCTTCTAACCCCTGCCTCTGAGAAAAATAAATAACATATTCTCAAGGAAGGAGTATACCTTTCAGATAGGGTTAATTCCAAGTATAAGTAAGGAAATAAGAATTTCACAATCCACTCACTCATGCATTAATTGAGGACAGGCCCATCTCCTCAAAATTTAAGGTGATTTTGTAGAGAATTGAATGATAGATATTCAGTTGGATTAACTCACCTCAAGAAGTCTTAACATACAAATGATTATATCAGATTTATAACTTAATTTTTAAAATAAATCTAGTAAATATGAGAAAATTCAACTAAAGAGGAAAATACTTGACAGCATAAACTTAACTTACCAAAAGATAATATAATAAAATTTCCGAGTTAGAAACATCACACCCTTTCCATGGTGTCTCACCTTGTACTCAAAAACAATTTGAGTTCATGATTATGCATGTATGGCTTGCAGAATTAGTAAATTCTTTTGCAATATTGAGCTGAATATAATTCCAGTTAAAAAACTTGAATGTAAATGCACAACATTGCATAAACTTGAATGTTAAATACACAACAAATACAAGGAAGAAAGTAATGAATAAAACCTTAAAGTACTTATTTTATTTTCCTTCTAGAGGAAAAATTTGGAAAAAGAATGGAGATGTATATGCAGGTATGTGTGTGTGTATATATATATATATATGTATCTCATACATCTATTACATCAACCACTAGTAAGCCCTATCATTGTTCATCCATTCTAGAGTAGCAAATGAAACCTTAGAGAACATACTTCTTCTTAAGGGATGTTGAGATTTCCCATGACTCATGTATTTCCCTAAAGTGTTTAATTAACTAAAATGCTATAAACACTTGGAAAAAAAGTCAAGCGATGTATGAAGATTCTTGAAGTAAAATTTAATGAAAATTATAGTTGAAAATAATTAGATCAATAGGATTATTAATTACCTAAGTGACAAATGGTTAGATGTTACTACATTAATTACAATTACATCTTTATGGTCATGTATAAGATAATGAATTTGAAAAGTGCTAATATAAGTAAAGTCATCTATTAAAAGCAACACACACACACATATGATGCAAACAACTTTCTTACGTTTGGATTGTCTATCTCCATTTTCACTTTAACATGCATAATGAGTTTGGAAGAATCCTGATGGAAATTTGTTTTACGTTCAATGTTTATGTTCATCGAACTAAGGTTACTGATGAATGATCTGCATCAGGAATTGTTAGACACTAGATGTAAAGGAGCTTCCAAACATGTTGGAATAATCATTTTTAGAAAGATTACAGAAAATTAATATACTTCCCCCAAAACATGTAACAGAATGTCTAGAAATGTGGTCTAAACACATAAGAAATATACATTAAAATTTGTAGGGAAAAATCACAGAGAAAAAAACAATAATCATAATAGGAAAAATCAGAAGACAGAATTTTTACTGATATGACAAATTGAAATTATGCATTTCTGAAGGTTGTTGTCAGTTCCTGTAACCAAAGCACCTATTATGAAACACTGAAAATACAGCAAAAAATAACTCTATTTCATGCAAACATTTAAATTTACAATTTAAAATTGAATAGAAATATATGATTTCATAACCAGTTTCTTGTAATTATCAAATAAATTGTGATAAGATGAAACACCCCACATTCAACAACCAGTATCTTAGGGAAAAATCCCTGAAATTATTTGGGAAATAACAAAATCATGCAAATTCCAAGACATTTGACACTGAATGGATGATTCATTTTCTCATTTTTGTGGCTTTTATTTTGAGGGGACATATAAGTCTAGACCATTAGATAGAAATTTCATTAAAAAAAAACAGTCTTTCTGAAGTAAAAAATAAGAAGCAGAGTTAATGACCACCATGGCCACAGAAGCCCTTGGACGAATCTCAAAAAAGATCTATCCAGGGAAAGAGACATTTATATTCCACATGAAACTCTGTCCAACTCATTATCATACACCAAGTAGGTCTGGGGCAGTTTTAGTACACCAGAAAAAGTTAAAAATATGAACTTATATTTGTATTATCACCCACAAGACAGAGTTTGTAGTCTGAGTCAAGCCATGTTAATTTCCTTCCAATGTGAAAACAAAACACTCTAGAGGAATATAACAAACTTCAGATATGTTCATAGTATAGTCCTACAATGTGCAAGATAGAATCCATAATTTCTTGCCCCCCAATTTTTCCAAAAAATTAGAGTAATGTTTGAATTTAGAACAGTTTGGGTTTTGGTTCTTTGACTCCCTTCTCAGTCTTACGAGGGTGCTGTGTGGGTCTGGTTTTTGTCTTCATTAGCTTTCTCCCTTCTCCTAGATAAATGAATGACCAACAAATGCATGGGAAACTGCCTATTATTATTGGTCATCGGGTCAATGAAATCCAAAATTGTAGTGAAATGCCATTTCATGCCAGTTCCCATTTCTATTTTGAAAATCACACACACAAAAAAAAACCAAAAAACCAAAAACAAAAAGAAAAACTCTTCTACCTGTAATACTTATGGCAAGGATGAGAAGAAAATTAGAACTTCATACATAGCTGTAGTTAATACAAAATGCTACAATACGTTTGAAAAGTTGACAGTGTCTTCCAAATTTAAATATACATTAGTAATTTCACCAGTAATTTCATCCTAAATCCAAAGTCCAGGAACAGAGAACCTGCCAAAGAAAAAATTAGTGCATATGTAAACAAACAGATTTCTGTAAGAATGATTATACTAGACTTTTAGTAACAACTCCAAATTAAAATACCCATCAATAGAATAATGGTTTCAGAATCATGACAGTCTTTCTCTCTCTGACGCTGCCCACCCAGAATGTCCAGGCACTGGAGTCGTGCAGTTCACAGGGATCCACTAGACCTCTGTGGCTTCTGCAGAGCAAACAGACAAGCTATAGAATATGAGAAAACATTCATATGCTGTATATCCAATAAAGGGCTAAAAACAAGACTGCACAAAGAACTCAAGAAAATCAAGAAAAACACCAAACCAACCCATTAAAGAGTGGGCAAAAGCTATAAACAGAAGCTTTTCAAGATAAGATAGACGAAAGGCCAATAAACATATGAAAAAATGCTC